ATGAATCTTTAAAGTGCTAGGTAGGTCAAGGCGATAAGATACCTTGCCAACCTTAGCTGTCACCGGGAACGGCCCTTCATATCTCCGTACCAAGCCTTTGTGCACACTTCGGTACGCCTTGAATTGTTGAGGTAATATTTTCACAAGGACTTGGTCGCCAACTTTAAAATCCAAAGGCCGTCTCTTCTTATCGGCCTACTTCTTCATGAGCCTCCGTGCTTTGTTTAAACAAGATCGTGCTAAGTCAGCATGCTCTTCCCATGACTTAGCCATTTTGTATGCTCCGGGACTTTTCCCTCCTTCAATAGAAGTGGACAAAGTGTGGGGTGTTAGTGGTTGTTGTCCTGTCGCCAACTCGAATGGACTCCGCCCCGTGGCTTTACTCCTTTGTAAATTGTAGGAAAATTGTGCAATATCCAGGAGCTTGGCCCAATCTCTCTGATTGGCACTTACAAAGTGCCGGAGATAGCACTCCAACAAAGCATTCACCCTTTTTGTTTGTCCATCCATCTGAGGGTGAAAGCTTGTAGAGAAGTGTAGGTCCGAGCCTAGGAGTTTGAACAACTCCGTCCACAGCCGACCCGTGAATCGGGGATCACGATCACTTATTATGCTCCGCGGTAACCCCCAATACTTCACAACATTCTTGAAGAATAGCCTTGCTGCTTCCTCTGCTGTGCAATCCTTGGTGACAGGAATGAAGGTGCCGTACTTAGAGAATCGATCAACCACCACCATTATTGACCCGAACCCTTCAAATTTAGGCAGGGCACTAATGAAGTCCATGGTGATAGAGTCCCATGGATGCTCCGGGACTGGTAGACGCTCCAACAAACCTGCTGGTGTCTTTGTTTCCACCTTGTCTTGTGCACCTTGTCTTGTTGGCACACAAGACAAGTCTTTACATAGAGCTCCACCATTTCTTTCATTTGCGGCCAATAGTAAGCTCGTTCAAGTAGTGCCAATGTGCGTTTCTGCCCTGGATGACCAGCCCACTTTGTGTCATGGCACTCCTTGATGATATCTCGCCACAAATTGTTCCATTTAGGAACATAGATACGCTGTCCCGTAGTGTAGAGTAAGCCGTCCTCGACCCAAAACCGTCGCGTCTTTCCTTCTTAGGCAGCTTTTACCAACTCCTTAGCCAAGGGATCATGATCCATGCCTTCCCGAATCAAATCAAGCAACGTCCCTTTGGCTTGGCTTATGGCTGCAAGCTCCGCCTTCCTGCTTAACGCATCGGCTACAACATTCGCCTTCCCCGGCTTGTATTCCATCACATAGTCAAACTCCGCTAAGAAATCTTGCCAACGTGCTTGCTTGGGAGTCAGCTTCTTTTGTGATTGGAAATAACTAGTAGCGACACTATCTGTCTTGATGATGAATTTTGAGCCCAACAAGTAATAACGCCACACTCGTAGGCAATGAACAATAGCCGTCATCTCCTTTTCTTGCACCGTATACCGACGCTCAGTGTCGTTGAGCTTGCGACTTTCAAAAGCAATAGGATGCCTGTTTTGCATTAGAACACCCCCGATAGCAAAGTCTGAGGCATCTGTTTGTACTTCAAAGGTCTTGGTGAAATCCGGCAATGCTAAGACCGGTTTCTCCATCACGATCGCCTTCAAATTATCAAAGGCCGTTTGATATTTCTTAGACCAATCCCCTGTCTTATTCTTCTTCAATAGGTCCATTAGTGGGGCTGCCCTCGCTGAGTAGCCTTGGATGAACCGCCGATAATAATTAACTAGACCAAGGAAAGAACGAAGTTCGGTTACCTTGGTTGGTGCTTCCCACTCCTTGATTGCTTTTACTTTTGCCTCATCCATCTTCAAGCGCCCGTGGCCAATGATATGTCCAAGGAAGTGCACCTCCTCCTTGGCAAAGGAACATTTTTCCTTTTTGATGTATAGCTCATTCTCCTGCAATGCTTGGAACACCGTTCGGAGATATTTTGCGTGATCCTCCAAGTTGTCGCTATAGATGACAATGTCATCCAAGTATACCACCACGAACTTGTCCAAGTAAGGTTGGAAAATCCTATTCATCAATGTGCAAAATGTGGCCGGGGCGTTGGTTAAGCCAAAAGGCATTACCAACCATTCGAATGAGCCATATCGAGTGATGCATGCTGTCTTAGGCTCATCCCCTTCTGCAATCCATACTTGGTAATATCCCTTTTATAGATCCACCTTTGTGTAATATTTTGCACTACCAAGACTATCAAATAAATCAGCAATCAAAGGAATAGGATACTTGTTTTTAATTGTTACCTTGTTGAGCGCCCGGTAATCTACACACATGCGTAACGATCCATCATGCTTCTTTTGGAACAAGACCGAAGCGCCACAAGGTGCCTTCGAAGGTCGTATCCTCCCCGTGTCAAGCAACTCCGTCAATTACTTTCGAAGTTCTTCCAGCTCCGGCGGTGCCATCCGATAGGGTGCCATGGATGGTGGTTTGGCACCCGGCTCCAACTCAATCTTATGATCCACCTCCCTCCTAGGTGGTAATTTCTTGGGTAACTCCGGCGGCATCACGTCCTTATTTTCTTCAAGGACATTCTTGATGACTTCGGGCACATTATCGTCACCCACAACTTCCTCAACTTGGTCCTCCATTTTTAATGCTGCCAAATACGTCGCCTCTCCTTTCTTTAGCCCTTTTGCTAGTTGCATGGCCGAAAGCTGCCCTATTACTTTCGTCCTAGCTACCGTAGGAACCATGCATGGAGAACCCCTCTCCAAGATGCAAACCGAGCCAAAGGAAGGCATAGGAATAGCATTGACCTTCCTCATGAAGTCCAACCCAAGAACCAAGCGAAAATCATCCATTGTAGCCACCGAAAAATCCACTTGGCCATGCCAAGTGCCTAATTGAATTTCCACTCCTCGAACTATGCCACCAAGGGGCGTGGATGGAGAATTCACAGCTTTCATAAGACCACCACCTTTAGTGATTGTGAGGCCCAACCTTCTAGCCTCATCTTCAGTAATGAAGTTGTTGGTAGCTCCCGTATCCACCATTGCTAGTGCGGGCCGACTATTTACTTGAGCTTCCACATACATTAATTCTCGTTTATTATTGGAAGTCGGAATGACCTTAGCATTGAGAGCGTTAAGAAGTTGCAATGAACTAAAATGTTCCGCCCTTCGATCTTGGCAAGAGGATGAATCCCGTTCCTCTGCCATAGCCGCCAATGTGCTAAGTTTAGGGCAATCACGCATTAAATGTGGCCCCTTGCACACGAAGCATCCACTTTGAGAACCCGTCGAGGCCTTCTTCTTTTCCTCATAATTTTTTCGCGAGAGGGAAGGTTTGTAAGTGTTACCACCTTTGAAGAATGATGACTTATGGTAATCTTTCTTCTCTCCCCCGCCTTTAGCCGAGTTACTCTTAAAGCTTTTAGAAGATTTTGATGAATCCGTGCTCCTTTGGAACTCGGTTAAAGATTCGGCCACCACAATAGCCTCGTCTACTGTCTTCACTCCCCGACATTGAAGTTCTTACTTCGCCCAATTTTGCAATCCGTCGGTAAAGTGATACAATAGATCTTCATCTGACATGCTCGGGATTTGAAGCACAAGGGTAGTAAACTCTTTGACATAATCGCGAATAGTGCCCTTATGTTTCAATTCCCTAAGCTTTTTACGGGCCTCATATACTACATTTTCGGGATAAAATTGGCGTTTCAATTCCTTCTTGAAATCATCCCATCTATCTATCCTACAAGCACCCTTTTCTATGTCGGCGTGCTTACGTCGCCACCATAGAGCCGCGGTGTCCATAAGATACATAGTCGAAGTACGTACCTTAATAGCTTCATCCAAAATGTTCACGACCTCAAAATATATTTCCAATCGCCATAGGAAATCATCTAGCTCTTTTGCATCTCGCTTTCCATCGAACTCCCTAGGCTTTGGATAGTCGATCCTTGGAGCCGCTAGAATCGTGCTAGTACCCGCACTAGTTGACGCCTTCTTACAAGCGTCTAGGCCACTTTGCATATCCGCGCAAAGCTTGTTCACTTGGTCTTGGATCGCTTTGACAGCATCCATGACCTTATCCTCCAACTTCGTATATTCTTTCCTTAAAGCGCCTTGGTCTTCCTTGAGATCATCAAGTTGTTCCAAAGTGTGAGCTTCAAGGGTTGAGAGTGAATTCTCCACTACTTCAATGCGTTTCCCCATATTGAGAAATACTTCCTCAAGAGATCCACCGGTAGGGGCTGGTGGTCGGCTCTTGCTTCGAGTTTGTCGAGTTTTCTTACTCGTGGTTTGGGGTTCGACCTCTCCACCCCGCTCGTCATGTTCTACTTCCGAAATGTCGGATCCCACAACATCTTTTTCGCTATGCCAACGATAGTAAGTAAGCAAACCTAGGCTCTGATACCAACTGTCACGGACTTGCTAATTTCCTTCAAGAACCGTGCGGCCTTAGTGTCTTCAACTTCCGCCCCCCGCGATTATTACACTAAGTCAGCCTCCCGATTGGCGTTGATGTCTTAGAAAGGCACTAAGTAGAATACTTTAAGAAAGGGACAATGAAGGAACACAAGAACTTACAAAGAAGGCTTTGTATTGAATAAGGATACTCTTTACAACTTCACTCTCTTGATACCTTCAAATGAATCCTACCAAGCTATTTATAGTAGTAGCCTCCTCAAATGGATGGTTAGGATCTTTTCTATCCAATGGTCTAGATTACACATCTAGAATTACCTATACAAATATTTACATTAAAATATTTATGGACTAAACTAGGATGATCTAGAATAATCCACCAAGTGAGGAGCTTGTAGGCTTCTAGAATGTCCCATCATATTCTAACAATCTTCATGCACTTGTGGGAGTCTAGAATATTCCGGTTAGCCTTAAGTCGTCAACATTTTAAATTTCTCGATCTTATTGTGCCAAAATCGAGCGAGTCGTGACGAGTGGCTGTCTTGCCTACATATAATCTATAGTATAAATGCACGAAAACGAGGAAATGGAATACCTTCATTTACAAGTAACAAGGCGTTTCGGCCCAGAACCAGGCCCATCCCACTACATATCCCAGTTTGAATTGCCAATTTTGCTGGGCCACAGGCCTGGTTTAACATGCCAATTCGAAAGCTGGGCTTGACACACCCGATCCTGGCCGGTTAGAAGTAGGGCTCATGCCTAGATTTCATGGCGATCTGGGCCGATTCCCTTTCCTAGACAAAGGGCCGTGTCTGGAAGGAAAGACTTGAAATTTAGAGGAAATTGTGCAGTGTTTATTTCGACCTCCCATGGCTGTTTTCTTGCAAAGATGAGTAAATTGGTAATCTGAAGATATAACTCTAAGGTGAGTTAATTGCGTGAAGTGTAATTTTATTGAAGCTTTTAATGTTGTATTTCTTGGATTTTCTTTTCTTGGTTTTGGCTAAATAAAAATTCTAATTAATGCGTACTGAGTTTTGAGTATGGTAAATCAGCTGATATCTTACTTTCAGAAGAAACTAAGCATTCTGGGAAGTTGCTTCAGCGCTATTGTATTAACACCCCACCTGTAATTCACTTCTAATTTCTGTGTTTGCTATGGAATATTAATTTGATGCATACATGTATGTGTTGTGTGAGATTTTTTTTTTTTTTTTTTTTTTTTTTTTTTTTGTTTTTTTTTTTTTTTTCTGATTTTGTGATTTAGATTTTCAGTTGAGTTATCACAAATTTAATGAGTCTCAACAAGAACAAATAGTTATCAAGAGATAACATGATTGTGAAATGTAGCCCTAATAAGTGATGCTGGGACACTAGGTATCAATGATCCTGGAATGGAACTGGTGAGACATATATTAATGCTGTGATTTTGCATTGTTAGCTTCATGAAGTGTTGCTTTTATACGTATACTCATATAAGTATGTATATGTCTGTAAATGTGAGGCATCTCAGCCTTAGTACGAGACTTCTGCTCCTTGCGCAGAATGGAATGCCCTTGATTGCACTTGCGCATTTAAATAACAAGAATTCATTGGGCTGATAATATCATAGATTCGGGTCTCATATATGGTATTTTGGAGTATGGATGTAGGCAAAGTTGTGTGTGGATCAAAATATACCTGTTATTCCCGTCCTCGGGTCATCTTCTTTGAGTTTATTAATTAACGAGTTCACATTTGGTAGTTCTTTTATAACTCTGGTATTCAATTGCTTGATTATATGTGGCTTTCTACCTAAACATGCTGGAACGAGAAGAGAGAGGCTGATAGTTTCTGCAAATGAAGCAGCCACACGGGTCTTCATTGTTCCTTATCACAAGCTCTCTCAATTTCTTGAATAGGCTTCTTCAATTTTTGGCAACTCTATGTAAATCTTGTCAACGACTGTGGTACCTTTTGTAACCATTGTTGTAAATATAAGTTTGACAATGAAACAGATGGGCATTTAAAATATTTGATAGTTCTCACTTGTTGGAATGAACACTAAAGCTATCTCCCACATATTGTGATTCTTTATTATTCCTTTCTGAAGGATTCTAGAACTTCCTTGCTTCTGGAAAATCAATTTCACAGTGCGTACATTTTTTAAACCAGGGGACAAATGTCAATCCAAACCGGAGTGTAGACTCCTCCTTTTTTCTAAGTTAGTTGTCTCTAATTCTGAAAAATGAAACTGAAGAAATGCAATGTATACGATCTTTGTCTAATCACTTTGCATTTATCACAGGCGATGTATCATTGCTCGGAGGATGACTAAAATACATGAAGAGATAAAGATTGCAATTTGTGATTTGCCTATTTGTTCTCATTCTATGTGCCATTTTAGTAATTACCTGCTCTAGTTTTTTGAAAAGAGTGGAATTAAGAGAGATGATAAATTATGAATTTGAAAACTGAAATTCAATATCCGTTTTTAAAATTGCAACTGGACAATCTATTATACAACACTTGAGTCATGGACACTAGGGTATACAGAAACAAATAGCAAAGCCAAATTATGGTACACATTTCATGCCTGATCTAAAATTGAAATTTAACCAGAAGAACTGGAAAAGACTTCACAGACCACTTCTTCTGAAGATGGAGAAACTGAAGTCGGTAAATTCAACTCTCCCCCTCTCTTTTCCTGGAGAAGTTGAGCAGTTGTTTATTAAGCTGTATTCTTACTTATCTTTGAACATTAACTACATATGCCACTAAGGAGCAACATCTTAGACCTCCCCACAAACTAGTGCCGTCAATTCTCTTAATTAACTGTGGGCAAACCCTTTGGACTGGAAAAGGGAGAAAACAGTATCAGTTTCATTGTACGCTCTAATTTCATTATGTTTATTGGCAATCTATTTCGTGTTATTTGTTGTAGTCCCATTTTAGAAAGAACTGGAGTTTCCTGTGATAAATCTTTGTGATTACTGCTTTCAATTGCATGCCCTCCATCAATTTAAATTCCTTAGGGTGTCTTTGGTAGAAGGGGTGGAAGTGGTGAAATGGAAAGTAACAGGTATGTTCTTTCCATTTCTTTAGGAAGGAAGGACAGTCGGAGGCAATTGGATTTGTAATGTTAGTTAGAACAGAAAAGGAAAGAAGACAAAAATGTCGAGTTTATGGAATTTACCTTCTTATATATAAAGGGACTGAAATCTCTTGTTAACTTGGTCTAGCTTGACAAGAATGCCTAGATGGTTAGAAATATGTACAAAAAGGTAAGGAAATAATGTCGACTAGAAATTCTAGTCAACTTTGCCTAGTTTGACAAGAATCCCAATATCTTTCGAAATTCGTGCAAAAAGAAAGAGATAATGTCTAAATGGACTAGGCATTCTTGTCAGATTTGCCTAGTTTGATGACAATCCCTTGATGGTATGAAATTTGTGCAAAAAGGAAGAGTGAGGATTTGGTAACACTTTTGAATAGAGAAGGGCATATTTGTCAGAAATTTCATAAAATAAAAAATATTTACAAACCCAAAAGTAGTGGATAAAATTCATTTTCTTACTCTAAAAGTGTCATATGGAGGAAATTTCTTCTACACATAATGAAGTCTTCAAGATGAGTAAAAGAGAGTTTTTGCACTTCAACTAATTGTTATATAATTTTTTCTTCAATTTTCCCTCATATTTGGAGTGTTTTGAAATGATGGGTGGGATTTAGTTCTATTTCCCATTCCTTTTATTTTCTCTCGTACCAAATGTTGGACGTGTTAGCATTTCCATCACAATTTTGCATCCCATTTCTATCATTACCAAATTGAGTGTTTAACAGTTTTCCTTCACCACACTTGCCTAACTTTTTGTAAAGTTTCGAGACTGTCTTCGATCTGAAGAAATTGTTGTGTTCTGTGCGTCGTTCATGAATCCCATGATCTAACTAGCTTGCTTGTATAATAAACTTGGGGTGATGGTGATAATTTAACAGTTAGTATATGGACACCTCATCTTTTCTTGGTTATGGTCCTTTCCAAATCACTACTGAAATATTATGCAGATGTGGATAAGGTTTTTTAAGGTGACTTTTAATTTTTCTTTTTTTTCCTTGTTCCTTTTTTCACTTTAATCTCGATAATTTACAGATTTTTTTCATACTTACAACTGTATATAACCCAATTTACAAGAATTAATTACTACAAAAGTCCAGATTGAAATTGGATTCTTAGCCAAGGAAATTAGAAATTCTAATCACAACCACCACTTAAGACAGTTGGGTGCATGCCTCTGGCATAATCCCTTGATTTTAGCACCTCATTAATCGTGTTGTCATTTGAAAGAGACCAAGAAGACATAGGTATAGCCTTGTCAGAATTTGGCAGTAATCAGTTAACACCAAACCTGTTGCTAAAGTAGTGGAATAGTTCCATTTTTCTTTGATACAAGGGGTGCACAAAATGTGGGGTGTAGCAGTTATATTATGCATTCTTTTAGTTACAATAACTGATACTTCAGTCATTATATAAATTTTCTATTCAGTGCCCGGGAGATAAAGGAGCACCGAGGGATATGCACAAACAATTAGGGATTGTGTGTAGTTACATGGAAACTGTAGGAGTTTTGGTATGCATAGTGAATGTAATTCTAATAAGTGAAACCTGAAAATTAGAAAATGAAGCATAATATTTGGCTGCTTGTATATGCATATGCTTTATGAACATGTATTTATGAAATATTAATATGGTGAAATTATTTCCTTGGAGATATGTTCATCATTATTTAGCATATTCATTCACTCCTATCATACTCAAAAATAAAAATTACCTAAATGGGCGTGTTTCTATGTGAGTTATTTCATTTGCCGCCCATTAATAGGATATTATTGTGTTCATTTAGTTCTGGCTTGGTACTCTTGGGGATGCCAACAAGCATTCTCAGGCCACCAACCAAAGGGAGAAATTACACTCTTGATTGAAGGAATGACAATTAGTAAGGATGAAACTCTTACTGAATCTCAACTAGAGAATGAATTGAAAGAGTTGATCTTGCTAGGGCATAGCCTTTTTATGGTAATGGCTTTCCCCATAGTTTCTGTTTTTTCAGATCCATTGATTCGTACAAATGCATATGCTATGGTTCCCATGTGGGATTGGGCTATATGCCTATCGCTTAGGTTTATATAGAATGATCTGTGTGATGCCTATATTATTCAAATGTTATTGACTTGTAATATTGGTTACTATAAAAATAGCTGATGCATTGAGGACATAATTAATTTGTTAGTTGATGGCTATCTTTGATTTATCTATTAAAGCAATTGTTGCAATATTTCTCAAATGCCACTTAAAAACAGAAATATTAGATTCGTGTCTAGAATTTGCAATATCCTTAAAATCTGCAGTAACTAGGTTTCTTGGATACGTGGAAATATGGTAACCATATACCTCATCTAAGTTACGGTTGATTTTGAATGTCATGTCATGAAATTGAATTATGTCTCAAAGTTGATTGTTTTAGGTGTGTAATTTTGATTATCAACAGGGGAGGACTTGAAGGACGTGAAAAGGACTGTAATACACAAAATTGGTGAGTGCTTAGGAGAAAAAAGTCTAGCTGGAAAATATCTACGCCGCCGTATAATTCAACAGCGCATCTTTAATTTAGCTTTATTAAGCAGTCATGCTCTCAATTGGGGTACATGTAATAAGAGAACATGTTTTTGTGACTAGCCGTAAATTTGGATAATAATAGGTTAGGTTTCTTGTCTGGAAATATGCACAAATCAAAGCATGCAAAACATGCTACAGAATAACACTTAATTTTAACTTCTAAGTTTCCACCAAATTGATGTGAAATATTAATATCATACTTTGTTTAACATTCAAGCTTCCAAACAAATTGAAGTGCTTGCCTTAGAATTTACTTTATGTAATAGAAAGGGCATTCAAATGCATTTTTGGTTCGATAACATTTACTTATTGTAGTTTGGAGCTTGCTTTCTATACTTTAACTGATTTTATTCATGGATTCATTATGGTAGATTGGTAAAATGCCTTTTATCGATAACAAGCTTTATCCGATAAAAGCAGTTAAGTTGGTGTTGCAGGAACATTGATTAAAACTGAAAAGAAAAGCAAGATAATCTCTTGCATTTGAGAAATTTAGGGAACAACTTGTTTCAGATGGCAATGGAAATTAATTGGATTTATGGCTGTCTACACAAGTTTCTTAACACGCTAAAAATTTGTTGACATCCATGTATCAATCAAGTTTGGTTATCTACGTAGTTAACCTCTGTTTCAATCTAATTTGTAGGGAAGATTCTGGTGATCGAGGACAGGCTTCTATTGATGCCACATCCTGTAATGGTCGGGAGATGTGTTCTTTACATTGATTCCTTCGAGCAGAGAAACTCTCCTTCCAAATTATGTGAAAATTACTATGATATGATAGCTGATGCTGAATACGGAATAGAGTTAGCAGAAATTAATGGCTTGAAAATCGACATTCAGCAATTTTGACGAGTTTCTCATTGATAATTTCTGTGTAGTTTTAGTTCTGGATATGACTGAACATGTCAAAAAACAAGAACTCTTGGAAAGCATGTACCTTAAAAAATGTTTTTGAAAAAGCCTAAATTTGGAATATGTTTGGGAGTTCTCAATTGGGATATTGCATATCTTCTTAAGATAAAGAGTGCTGATCGCCAATATATGTAAAAACTAGTGTACGGACACAAATGGTTACAAAATGAATCTGAATTTGAAATTTACTCTTTTTATTTAATATTGTCTAGTACTGGCGAATGTTCACGTGCTTATAGCCCTATTTAAATTAATTTTTTTGTGAAGGGGGGGGGGGGGGGAATAGTATTTTTTGGATAATGATAGTTTTTTTGTGAAGTGGGGGTCTGTTTGAATAGTATTTGATGGCTAATGATAGTTACCTCATACAAGGGACAGGACATGAAGATCAAATTTCGTTACCAATTAATTAGTAGAAAATTTCTAGTACTGGCGAATGTTCATGTGCTTATAGCCTTATTTAAATTAATTTTTTTGTGAAGTGGGGGTCTGTTTGAATAGTATTTGATGGCTAATGATAGTTACCTCATACAAGGGACAGGACATGAAGATCAAATTTCGTTACCAATTAATTAGTAGAAAATTTCTAGTACTGGCGAATGTTCATGTGCTTATAGCCTTATTTAAATTAATTTTTTTGTGAAGTGGGGGTCTGTTTGAATAGTATTTGATGGCTAATGATAGTTACCTCATACAAGGGACAGGACATGAAGATCAAATTTCGTTACCAATTAATTAGCAGAAAATTCATTGTGTTACACGGGTACTTTATATATATATATATATATATATATATATGAAAATTGTTGTTTGTATAGCTTTTATTTAATAGCTTTTTTCACAGCTGTCTCACAAAGGTGAGGTTCATGATTATTTTAATTGTGGACCTCAACAACTTGCATGTGTGTGTACTATGAAAAAAATTGTGAAAATTGATGTATCTATAACATCTTTCATATATATATATATATATATTTGTTATATATTTGTTAGCTGAACCTGTCGACTACAATTATTGAAAATAACCTTATTTTTATCCACTAGAAACATAAAAATGATTAGACAATGTAGATAACAACATATTTTCTTCGTAACTACCAAGATATGCGCCCCCGACAGCCGCCAAAGACATAATAATATTGTTCTTTCTTACCCAGCAAATGAGATGCCTAGGGCTTGACAACTTTGGATTTTCGAGTATTATTTCAATCATTATAATTGGGTTAAATTAAACTCGTGGATTCAAAAGTATTTAAACTAAAACACTGACGAACAAGGAAAAAATCGATAATATAGATATTATGCATTTCCACTACATCGGGCTTTTTAGGTAGGGGTGACCGAACTGCGGTTATGCATGATTGATAATGGTACAACCAGAAGAGGACTGAGAGAAATAATTATATGTGTTCAAATCGATAATGGCATGATTGATAATATTATTTGTGCTTAAGATGTATGTATTCAATTGGGCGGCTTGAACTACAAGTAAAGTTTATCCTGGAAGGCAGGAGCTCTACTGGAAGGCAAAATGTAAAGATGGGAAACGACTTGTTTGGCACTTTGGCAAATCAGTTGGGAGGGCTCTTGAGCACTGGTCAGTTTGGGGCACAACCTACTGTTTAACCTGTCTGCAGCTTGAAGGACCAAGATGTAGACTCCAGGATTTAGTCACTGTAAGGTGGATACCTGGATATCAAAAAAAAAAAATTTATTGAGCTCAACTTTTGTACTGGTCAAATTTCAGATTTTATTCAAAGTCAAAATCAGCAATTAATTTTAAGCCCATATTTTATGGATCCCACAACTTTTTAATCACACATTTCATTAACTTTTATCAGAATATACTAAATCTGTTTTTAATCCCTTGGGCTTAATTGCTTAAATGATGAACCACCATTACAAGTAAGGATGCAAGAACACACATATCTTAGTGATCGTAGTTACCTACCTATAGATACAGCTAATAAGAACAGTATAAATTAATTTCAACCAACTTAAGCCTACTGTTACAACAACAACTAAAATCCATGCTTTCAATGGAGGTTTAAGAACTTTGTTTTAGGTCCACCAACTGGTGGTTATGTTTTCAAAACCCAAAGCTAACCCTAAAAATGCCTAGTAAAAAACAACTATGAACCAACCCATTTGGTTCGTAGTTGACATTTCTTGATTGTTTTCTACACAAGTTTCTTGGGCTTGTAACTTGTCCCCACGTGAGAAAGAGGGTATAATTGAAAAGGAATATATCGTCTTTTATTATTAAGAACAGAAGGTTGGAAGGTCATAATTCTTTCTTTTCGATTATTTATGTTGTTTTTTTAATATTTTTGTAGGTTGGAGTCATTGTTCAATGACAAGGAAGGTTGGTTTTCTGGGGATCTTTGGCTTCAGTTTTGTCTCCATATAAGACCTGCCTTTTAAGCCAGTTGAGCTCCTTTTTCTCAATTATAATCTGGAGCAAGAATCTCTTTTTTCTTCCAGGTAATATTCAGTTCTTGCCTTTTCTAACCTATGCCTTTCTGTATTCATTTCTTGGTAGTAATTGGGATTGATTATGTGTATATAAAGGAAAACTGATATTATTTCCGATGTGGGTTTTCAATTTATTTCGAAAATTACACATGATGATCAAGAGTTAAATAGAAGATGTTGATTATCTATATATGCACTTCTGAGTTTTTCATATTATCGAATTGAGCCAAAACAGGAGTTTCTTTATTGGAAACTGACTTTCCTCTTTATTTTTCTGATGCGTATCGTTTTCATCAAGTTCTGATTACTATTTATTCTTCATCCTCAGCTCCCAATCTCTCCTTTACATCCTTGAAATCACTGGTAATGGATTTTGTTTCAATGGGTGACAAATGGCTACGTTTTGTTTGAATCTAACTACTGAAGGAGACTGCTAGCAAATCCATATTTTCTCTTTCAGAGTCTTTGTTCTTATTGATCATCCAAGCTTTCTAATGACCAAATGTCTCTAAATCAACCTTCTGTTTCTCTAGCCTATTCAACAAACTTATTTTCTGGAAATTCTGTATCGACTCATGACCATGTTGAAGCCGAAACTATCAGAAACAGAGACGAGATGCTATTTATTCCTCCACTTGGTGTTCCTGCAAGTATTCAGCAAATCAATAGACAGTTACATTCGGTGCCAGGTTTTTCAGATGGTAATACAGTTTTGACCGATCCTCAATTTGTTCCTAAACAACCACTCCATGCCTATAGTTTGGAACAAAATCCTCAGTATCATGGATTATCTCTCAGCTTGGGATCTCGAGTACCATCCTTGGTTCAGGGGCCTTCGAATTTCAACCAGTACACAAACTCAAGTCTGTCCTCACCGTTGAGTTTGCATGATGTACATTCCGAGGCCCAGGTTTCGCAAATCAATGGACTGAAGAATGTTGAATACCTGTCATTTGATTTAGCTGGAGGGACTCGGGATACTGTCAAATACGGAGCTGTCAACAATGTTCAACTCTTGACAGGCCCCAAAGAAATGCATTTTACGTCATCTCTACATGAAGCAACAGGAATCACAGGGACGTTTTGGAACTCGAAGCATCTCAGTGCAGCTCGGGATTTACTTGATGAAGTAGTCAGTGTTCATAGAGCTCTCGAGAAGCCAGAGACACACCAGGACTTTAATTCACTTGGTCGAGATGGCTCTATAGGGACGGATGTGAAAGGGGACCAGATGTCTACTGAACCTCACGAGTTATCTATCAGTGCCTCTTGTGAACTTTCACCTTCTGAACGACAAGATCTACAAAACAAGTTGACAAAACTTTCGTCTATGTTGGATGAGGTGAGGTTTCACTGAAATGTTTATCGCCCTAATTCTCCTTCTCTTTCAGGTCTAAATCCCATTCAATATACTTGATTTAGAGTTCAAATATGTTTCTTTTCTCACTTCTGAATTTTTATCCTTCTTGCTTAATCCTTATTTTCGGACCAGTTGGTAAGGTGTTGATATTGTTTGGGCTGTAGGTGGATACAAGATACAAACATTATCACCATCAGATGCAAATTGTCGTATCATCCTTCGAAATGGTGGCCGGGCGTGGTGCTGCCCAGCCATACACTACACTTGCCCGTCGCACAATTTCCGGCCAATTCCGCTCCTTGCGTGATGCAATCAACAGGCAAATTCAATTTACTCAAAAAACGTTGGGCGAGCAAGACGTGACTTCACATGGTCAAGGAGTGTTATCTCGTCTCCGCTTTGTGGATCAGCAACTGAGGCAACAAAAGGCACTTCAGCAGTTTGGTATAACTGGACAACCTTGGAGACCACAAAGAGGCTTGCCTGAAAATGCTGTTTCTGTCCTTCGTTCTTGGCTTTTTGAACATTTTCTTCACCCGTATGTTATTTAGTATCTTCTCATTGGCACCACCTATTTTTATATAACAGTGTTCTGACTACTAAGTTTTGGTTAATCCACAGTTACCCTAAAGACTCGGAAAAAATCATCCTTGCAAAGCAGACAGGATTGAGTAGAAGCCAGGTATCTATTCATATGTTCAAATAGTGATTTAAGACATTGTCAATTCGTATGTTTAAAATCTGAACATCTTTGATAGCTAAAACTATTCAGTAGACTTCATCTTGCACGTTTCTTTGCATAGTTTCCAGCGTAAAACATAATCTTTTTAGTAAAACTGGTGCTTCGAATTTAATTGTTATGGTAGAAGCATAAAATTCACTCTGGATCAGGTTGCGAACTGGTTTATCAATGCACGAGTACGTCTTTGGAAACCCATGATTGAGGATATGTACAAGGAGGAGTTCGGGGATGCGGATGCAGATGCAGAACCTAAGACTTTGCCAGAATTTGCAGCGGCCGCACAGAAGTCTTCTTTTGATGACAAAGAGGAACAATTTCAGGGAAGCTTAATGTCTGTGTCTGTAAATGGCAATCACCTGGCTCATTCCAGCGAGTTCGGGCCTGATGTTATTTCAAGTTCAGAATGGAATGTACATGAACCAAATTTGAGCTACCAGGCTGGTCCTTATCAAGACAATGAACTTAGGATTTTCTCCGATGACACAGCATCACTTGAGAAGAGTGGTGGTGATAGACACGACATTTCCATGCCAAATATTAAAATCGGAAATCAAGTATCACTTGCACTTGGGTTGCAACATTGTGAGAAAAATCCTCGACCAATATCTGGTGGAACGCAACCAAGCGAAGATGGTGCTACGGATTCTTCAATGGGTCTCGACAAACTGGAATACCGTTACATAGATCCTGTAAATCAACAGCACAGATTTGCCAATCCCCACCTCTTATCCGATTTTGTGACATGATAAAAAGGTTGCCTACACGAAACAGAGGCAGAGATGCTTTGGACTGTCATAATTTTTTGCATAAGGTCTCTATTTTTTGTGCCGAAATAATCAAGAAGTCCAGAATTAAGCATGATAGACTTGTACTGATATTCCATTGTATAGTATGTAAAGTTCATGGAACACTTGTTTGTGAATTACCATCGACTTCTAAGAATTAAGAAATTGAACCAAAAAAAATATATATATATATGGCTAGCAATCGTTCAACTTTTAATAATCAGTGCTTTCTTGTTTTATCTTAAAGTAATAGATAATAATGAATGCTGTCATTGTAATTGGAAGCTTTGACGGTCAAACCAAGTTACATTGAGATTTCCGATTAACTTAGTATTTCAAGATTATTTAAATAATATGGTTGTAAATTAGCTTTGAAGGCTTTGTCAATGCCAAAAGAAGAGAAATTTTGATAGCAAAAGGTTGAAAATAAAATGCACAACGAAAATGTGGCACGACAATTCAGTTCCTTAGCAATAAAGAATTAAGAAAAATGCTTTTGAAGTATATTATTTTCATTTACAGTAATTAATTATATTAATTGTTTTCTTAATCAATGTAAATTGTGTTCTGCGAACTTGTCACGCAGTCTGTTCATAGTTTAATGTAAAATGAAGTCCCAAACGACAGGATGATCTATATTGAAAATGTGATTTTGATTTTATCAGTTTAAGTTATAAACTAAGCTTCCTTTGTGTTATTTTCTACCGTACTGTTTCACTTCCTTTCCTTTCATGGTTTCATCTTGTTTGATTCTTGTGGTTGAAAATGAATCTTATCAAAGGATTCTGGATGATCAAGAAAAGCTTTTTATAGGCTCTTTAGATTGTTCAGACACTTTAGTCGGTGAATAGGGCTTGGAGTTTTATTGACCATCAAAATCTGCAGGAAAAAAATACAATAAAATAAATTGCAAGTACTGGAAGGGACAAATGGTAATCATCACTAGTATCTTTTGGCCTCTTTCGTATTCTTCCCCCCTTTTGTTTAGTGAAGCTTGTGCTTGTGCTCATGGACATAGGTCGAATGTCACGCACCGAGTGTGCTTCTCTCCTTACATGGCATGGCAATGATGCCAATAGCTAGATGTATGGTTACCGAATAGTGCACTAATGATGTCATTATATGAAGGCATTGTGAAACATCATACGTTGGTTGTTTTTGGCTTGCCAGCCTAAGCAAGGGGAGAAAGCAGCCCCAAGGTGTGGAGCCTCAATGGCCGCATTGGTGATCTGTGATATCGAGTATCGAACTACATTAACTCAACATGTTTGTGCTCGCTTTTATGTTTTGCCTAAAACCTTATTTGGGAACTTCGTCATTATGACAAGTGGTATCAGAGCCAACACTATCGGCATTCTCAATAGGCAATAACCCACAACACCATTAATAACAAGCATGAGAAACTAGCCCCCCAGGGCACAGCCGAGTTGGTGGAACAATCACTTCGCTGGGACGCTGGAAGCAAGAGTGGAGAGTTCGATTCCTGGAGTTAACACTGGGTGCTAAATGGAGAGGAAGCCATTTGGTTGAACAAACGCCCAGCGAGGAGAGCTCTCTTTGCGGAAGGAGTCCAAATGAGTTGTGGGAACCTGGGAGCCAACAAGGGCACATCCTGCGATTTACCTCCCTGAGCTGCTGAGGGGCCGGAGGTTCAGGGACAAGGATCTAGTCGGACGCAAGCCCGGACACCTTGTAAAAAAGAGTGTGCAAAAGGCACTCTACTTTTCATTGCTTTTTCCTAGATGGCAGAAAACCCTTATTCAGCAGGAAAACAATTTATCATATTGGCTTCTTTTCGCCTTGTGAATAAGAAGAGAGAGAAGTTCGAGCTGAAAGTGCTTTTTTAGTGGCCCAAAGAAATGTAATAGCAGGCATTAAAGCTGAAATCTTGATGCCTTAGCTTGTTGTTTTGTATTCATGGAAGAGGGGGATGGGGTGGGGTTGGGTAGGTGTATTGTAGGGGGCGGGGGGACCATTTTTCCCATATCATTTTCAGCATTTTCACTTGGTTAATAGCTTTGCTTGTTTAAAGATGTTTGCATAGCTCTGTTCATGTAGCTTTTATAGCTCTCAGTATGCTGACATTAGGGTACCCTATACTATACATCAGAAAAAGAGGAGGCATACAGAGAAAGAATCTTTACTTTCCTTCTTGAATGAACTATTATCAAACAAACAAAAAAAAAAAAAAAAAGGTTGAACCCCAACCTTGAGAGCCCCCACCGTCCCGTCTCTGGAGCATCATGAGGGAGTTAAATCACGGGATGTGTTCTAGCAGGCCAGATAACAAGTGCTTGCCCGTACAATGGTGTCCATAAAGAGTCCAATTTCATATATCAGGAATCGAATCCTCCACTGTGACTGTCAGCAAGGTTGAGATTACCTACACTTATATAATGTTGCTTTCATATGTTAATTCTATAACTTATTAGGTTATGATTTTTAACGAGTCAAAAAAAAAACAAAAAAAGGAAAGAAAGAAAAAAAACGAAAATACCAAAATCTTCTTCATTAAACTATGCAATCCGTTACCTAGCTTTCAACTCTTAGTGTCGGTGGCAAGTGCTTTCGCAGTTGATGTTCTTTCCTATCTCTATGCATTTCACCAATCCATCGGATATTCCTTGCAAGTATTATGTACCAAACATACATTTAGGAGTTTGTCATTCATCTTGTCTTTTTTATGTACCTCATCTGCTTTACCTCTGACCTCATTCTGGACAGATTTTGCAAATTTGAAAATTTCTGCTTGCATCCATCATTTTCATATGAATGCTTTTACTTTCTGATGGCAATTCAAGATTTTTACCATTCGTTTGTACTTTTATTTCAGAAATCTTCTGTTTGTAGTATGAAACTGAAGACTTTATTAATGTTAATTCCATTCCATATTTACTATATAAGAACCATTTTCCTTCTAATTTTCAGTTTGCTTTTACCCTGCACCTTGTACTTCTGGTTCACTTTCTGATCAAGATCCAATCTTGAGAAAAATATTTTTTCAGTGATTTTAGTTCAAAGTTGTACTATGGTTTCACAAGATTCACCCTCAAATACCAATTCAAGTATTCTACACCAATTCATTAGCTCAAATTCCATAGCTAGTCAAAACCAGTTTCGAAATCAACATTTTGATCCCTATGCAGTAGATTCAATTGGAAATGGTCCTTACCCACAGTCTCTAGGTTCGATGCCAAATATTTATTCTTTTGATGAAAGAATGTCTAGATCTACAGACGTTCGTGCCCCTCAACTAATAGATGAAGCTCGTATCGACCGGGATAGACGACTAATCGACCTTCTTGGAAGGTCGACTGAGGTTTCCCAGCAAGCACAAAGGCTATCTCTATCTCTGGGTTCAGAACATTCCAGGCAAAGTTCCTTAAATTCATCAAATTTTCTTAGTCCTGGTTACATGATATCTGAAGAAGCAGGAAGAGAATCTTGTAACACGGGACTTGATAGAATGGCTCATGATTTTTCTTTTTCTGGAAATGCTTTTTCTCCGATAAATCAATCTTGTTCGACATCGTATGGAACTGAATCAATTGCTGCTACAATCGGGAGCTCGAAATATTTGAAACCAGCTCAATCCCTTCTGGAAGAAATGGTTAATGTTGGAGGAAAGGACATTGATTTGAGCAACCAGAAATATGTCGAGAAATTATCTCGCGGCTGCAAGAAAGACTCTTTCGGACTTTCCTTTGAACTCAAAGCAGAGTTATCCAACAATGAACTGTTGATTGAAAAACACGAAACTTATCTCAACCTTGTAAAGCTTATTGCCTTGCTTGAGGAGGTTGATTTCTTACATTTAAACCTCGGATTAATCTAATTCGACAGCTGTTGTCCCTATCTGCTTATTGTTTTCGATTGATGTTTACTTTTCAGGTGGAAAGACGATACGATGATTATTATCATCATATGGAGAAAACAGTTTCATCATTTGAGGTTATAGCGGGTTCAGGAGCAGGAAAAGCTTACACTGCTCTTGCACTCCATGCCATGTCCAAACACTTTTGCAGCCTAAGGAATGCAATTTTATTTCAAATTCGAGTGACACGAAAACAGATCACCAAAGACATGCCGAGAATTAGCTCGAGTTTGTCTGAACTAAGCTTGTCTGATCAAGAAGCAAGACATAATCGAAAGTCACTTCAACAGCTCGGAATCGTCCAAACATCAAGACAAGTGTTTAGACCGATCCGAGGACTACCCGAGACTTCTGTCACAATTCTTCGTGCTTGGCTCTTCGAACACTTCCTGCATCCGTATGTGCATGGGCTCTCTTATTCGATTAATTTCAAAGTTTTCTTCCCAAACGACACCGGTTAATAGTTTTTTTTTTTTTTTCCTTAGTTATCCTAGTGACTCGGAAAAGCTGATGTTGGCATCACAGACAGGCTTGTCAAAGAACCAAGTACTTATTTTTCCTCTTCAAACGATTTCCATTGGTGTCGACTATTCTTATTTCTATACATGTAAGTCTTAAACGATTGTTTCAGATTTCCAACTGGTTCATAAATGCTCGGGTACGACTATGGAAGCCTATGATTGAAGAATTGTATAAAGAAGAATTTGCAGACTCTTCAACTGATTCCGATCAAGTATTGACAAGCAGTTCCACCACAAGGAAAGGATTTGGAGATTCTGCAGAGGACTTGAGCTAAATTTTTCTTAATCATCCTTAACCAAATGAACTACATGATTTTGTTGCTATCTGTAGTCTGATTATTAAGGGATTATTATTACAAGTTGATTGCATTGCAAGTGATAATTTCAGGATTAAGATTTTTTTTTTCTTCTTTTGAGATTATCCGAATATGCTTTAAACAAAAACTAAGTTAACTCCGAAAACTTTAATTGCAATAAACATGATAATGAATTTGTTTTTTGTTAGGATTTGAATTCCATTTCAAAAGGATAACCTACTTCATGAAGTAACACAATTTTTGATCCCCCTTCAAAGAAAGCACCACATATCATGGCCCCTTCAGGTGATCATTTGCTACGTCTATCTTTTTTTCAACAAAGAAGGCTCCAATGCGCCTTTTTTTTTTTTTTAATCCAATTTATCGTGAAAGGCAAGAGGGGAGAAAGGAATAGTGTGTTGATTGTCCTCTAAAAGTAAGTTTTCTTCTTCCTTGTGTAAAAAGGAGGAATAAATAAAAATGGAATTTGACTCCCATCTCCAATGCGCTATTTTTATCTTTTTTTATTTTTGAGTGTATCCAATTTATCGTGAAAGGCAAGAGGGGATAAGGGGATCGTGTGTTGATTGTCCTCCAAAGGTAAGTTTTCTTCTTCCTGGTGTAAAAATGGAATAAAAAAGCCCCCATTTGACTCCCATTATTTCACATTAAAAATTTTTGATGGAATTTTTTGAAGGGCATTCACGAATCTCCTTCATTTCCAGTTTCCAATCCCCTATTTCCACCACTAGCACTACCAATGAAAACCATAAACCATCACCTAAGTCGTACTGCACTAGCAACAGTGGCTCTGAAAATTCTCCAATTTAATGTATGGCTGCATTTGTCAACGACATCTAGTCAAAACCTGCAAGTATAAATTCAGTCTACTCAAGATGAGAATTTTAAGGTAGATAAGTCATAAGGCGAGAATAGATATTAAGAAGTGAATGTATTCGTGAGTTGGTTAAGGTAAGGATAAATTGTCGGAGAATCATTTGAGACTGTTTAGGCCTATCAGCAAATGCGGTTAGATGGATCGTAATAAACTTAGAGGAAGGCAGCAAAGTTACATGGATTGACGAAGTATCGAAGAATTGGAGTTGTAACTTCACTCTGGAAATAAGTACTAATAGAATGAAGAGGAATCGAGTCAAGACAAACATTATTGTATCCAAGAATTCATATTTACCCATAAATTAGAAAATTCAGCCCCACAACCAAATCAAATTTCAGTTCTGCTAATGTTTTTCGACTCATATAAGGCTTTCATCCTAAGATCCCAATAAAATTATACATAGAATCCTAAGAAAAACCCTGATACTTGTTTCTATGTTCTACATTATTCATTAGTCACTATAGCTCATATTTTGCAGTGGCTAAAACACAAAATAGCTTATGCGGACACTTCTAAGGCAATTTAAATGAACAGAAATCATGAAAAAGATTTCTAATGTCTGGTGTTGACTCACCGGAAGAGGGATTCCTGCAATTAGGCTGCTGCGACCATGAGCCATCAGCCCACGTCTTGTGTGTGTATTCACTGAAACAATGGTATCAAATTATCCAGGGTTCAATTCACCAGGAAAAGGAAATTGATTGAACAATAACATCAAAAGAAAAAAAAAACATATATCGAATTGAGCAATATCATTTCTCAGAGAAATTAGAATTTCATTAGAAAACACCCAGAAGCTCATAAAAGAGGGACCCTAATTGCCAAAAAATTTTGGACCATTTCTCGATTTGTGCGTGTCATCCTTGCGCAGGGGCCATGCTAATCTTCTCTGTATCGTTCCAATTTTATCGGATGTCCCCGAAGGGACGAGCCATAGTTGCGATGTATCTCAATATAATCTGAATGAAATTATTCAGTTCAGCCGATGTGGGACTAGAATAGTTGGGATCGAATTCGCACAGTGCAAGTTAGATATTGGGTCGGGTTAAAGTTTTGTGGTAGATATTTGGGCTGACCCGTTCGTACGAAACTGGATTAAAATGCATTAGGTAGCAGCCCATGTATATTTGTTTTTATTTCAAAAAAAAAAAAATTTGAGAGAATATTTCATTTTTTTTATGAATTAGTAAGAACATCGAATATAGTTAAGTTGATTACATATTTTAGATTTAAATTGACATTGGGTGCAAGTTCGCCAGTTTAAAAGAATATTTATGTGCCTTGGAGTTACTTCTAACAATGTGTGAAATAGTAATTAGTATTTTTTGAAAAACAACAATAAATAAAGTTTCGTACTCAACAAATTTATGGATAAAATGAATATTGAAGTTATTTGTGGACAAATGTCGAGAATGACAAGGATATTGACTTAAAGTTTGTTTAAACCACCCTCATTTCTTGGCTAAGAATGCAATTTAGAATAGTAGATTGATGTAGAATGTGTGATTAAAAATAAAGAAAAATTTTGAATTTATGTGTAATAATATTTTATTGAAAAATATATGATTGAAAAGAAGAGAGGGAAAAATATATATTGAAAATAATGAGGATCGAACAAAAACTCGATATATCAAAATTTCTCACTGTTTGGTTTCTACGTTGGAAATCCTTGATTCTTTGTATCCTACGTAATGCCATTGAAACATGATATTTCACGTATGCTTCCATATTTCTTAATTTGCAAATAAAATTTGATCGACAGACAGTTACTAGGCAATTCCTAGAATCTTTTCCTACATCTTTGTTAAAATAATCTTTAATACATTCTACGGATTATTATTCAGATGATATGAAAGTTGAAAGACTTCGAGTCTACATGGCATTAATATTAATAAATAAACATTCAATCTTAAAATTCGTTTCCAATTCATTGTATAGATTGCTATCTACGTGTTTTGTATTTTTTTTAAAAATAAAAACATTGTCATGTCTACATTTTGAAAGGAAATATAAATATGAAAAGCAATATGTTTATTTAGTCGAGTCACTCCGTCTAAAATAGCATCTGAATCTAGATGTAACTCTAAATATTTTTATTTTCATCTTATACCTCAACGTGAAAGAGTTTCTGTCAGCTTATATTGAAGATGAATTTTTTTTTCTTTTTTTCTTTTTTTTTTTAAAAATATCTCTATTTTAGCTTATGTGACACAAATTTTTAAATAATTCATCGATTACTTTAGAGATGCTTTAATGTTGGGTCAAAGATGGAATTTGGAGAAGGTTAATAGACTCACTAACAAAAGGAAAGTTTCTTTCCACGACAAAGTCTACAAACACGTGTAAAAGTGATTCACGCCTTGATAAAACGAAAAGAATAATGCGACTTGTACATAATAGTTTACATAAATAAGGATATAAAGAAATATATTACAAACTTCATCAAAACAAAGCATTGACCCATCTTAGTTCAATGAAAAAGTATTTGAAACCTTCTAATGTGGAAAGTACATGCTTGTCAAAGAAAATTAACTCCATAACTATATTTATCCATGCTCACTATTTACTCCATACGAAATCCAGTCCAATCTACACAAACAATCTTGATCCATCAATGCTACCACTCGAGATTTTAAATATAATATATTTTTATTTTGAACACTAATTTTTTTCCCAAGGTAAAAATTCGGGGACGTTATTCTTGGGATAATCTCTGGGGAAAAAATAAAGAATAATTAATTCCCCTTTATAACTAAAGCAATTTTTGTGTTCAACTACTGGTCAGCATGTTGATCTTGTACCTTTTTTTAGCACCCATAAGAATAGCATTTTTTGTCCGTTTTAGTACGTTAACTTTGGCAATAAATGTAAGAAAAACTAGCAAATTGTCAAATGAGGAAAACTCCATAAACTGATCAAGTATGTGACAAATGGAATTTCTGTATATGTTCATGGAGCAGGTGAATCTAAAACCAGAAACACTCACAAATTTCAAACTCCTCTCTTTAAAATCCATAAAGGAGTATATACTACAAGTTGAAGGGGTCATGGTTAGCCATAAGAGGCAAGTAGTGGAAGCAAGAGGATTTGGTAGAAGAGCAGTTGATTTGATCACATGAGCTCGCTTTTTCTCGCTCTATAGATAAGTGTATATATATACAATGCTTCACAGGAATTTCACAAAACAATCTCCGAAGAAGAAAGAGAGTTTTTGTACATTTTTAAGTTGTTAATGGCTTCTGTCAAGGTGCTTTGCTGTCTCATAGCAGTTGCTTTTCTGTCTTGCTCTCTGTTAGAAGCCTTTCCGGGATCAGGACATGGTTGGGGTGGGAAAGGCTACTCAGGGCTCGCCCCAGAATTCTACGATCATTCATGCCCACAAGCTAATGAGATTATAATGTCAGTATTAGAGAAGGCCATAGCAGAAGATCCCAGAATGGCTGCCTCTTTACTGAGACTTTACTTTCATGATTGCTTTGTGCAGGTAGCTTGATTAAGATTTCATGTGCAAGAAGTAATTATTGAAATTAAGTATTTACTTGATCATACTACTAATTTAGATTATGTTATATGCTACTATTGAATTCTGTTTATAGGGTTGTGATGCTTCAATCCTGCTAGATGATAGTGCTACAATAGTTAGTGAAAAGAATTCTGCACCAAACAAAAATTCAATAAGGGGATTTGAAGTGATTGATGAGATCAAGGCTAAACTGGAAACAGTATGCCCTCACACAGTTTCATGTGCAGATATTATTGCTCTTGCTGCTCGGGATTCTGTCATATTAGTAAGGCATTTCAAATTAATCTTAAAGTTCATTAAAAATCATAACAATCTTTATTGCTATCTACCGAGGAAAAATTCAGTATCCCCTTTTATCAAATAAACTGTACGAAGAAAATTACTCAACGCATTTTCCATCATATCGTCCGCACTTACATGAAACTTACAGTGATGATGATCATGCTACAGAGTGCTGGACCGCATTGGGAAGTGCCACTAGGAAGAAAGGACTCGAAAACAGCAAGTCTCAGTAGATCAAACTCTGATATTCCTGCTCCAAATTCCACCATCCAAACCCTCATAACAAAATTCAAGCGCCAAGGTCTGGATATTGAAGATCTTGTTGCTCTTTCAGGTAAGATTATTCTACAAGAAAGAATTTGTTCGTATATCAATATGCCTTGGTAATCAGATTTACTAAATAATCAGGAAAAAGATCCTTTATTGGGTAGTGTGAAAAGAAGCAAAACTGTGAACATATATGATCTGCTTATAATCTGTTTATTTAACAATTCTATCTCGAGTTAAATCACAGGAGGCCATACAATTGGGGTGGCAAGATGCGTGACATTCAGACAAAGGCTGTACAATCAAAATGGGAACAACCAACCAGATGCAACTTTAGAGAAAACCTACTACAATGGCTTACAAAAAATCTGCCCTGAAGTTGGTGGAGATAATAACATTTCACCACTTGATTTTGGATCCCCAGTTAAATTTGATAACACATATTTCAAGCTCATTTTACGGGGAAAGGGGCTTCTCAATTCCGATGAAGTTCTGCTGACTGGAAATATGCGCCAAACCATGGAGTTGGTGAAAATCTATGCAGAAGATGAAGCTCTTTTCTTCCACCAATTTGTAAAATCTATGAACAAAATGGGCAACATAAGTCCTCTTACTGGTTCAAAAGGTGAAATAAGGAAGAATTGTCACCTAGTGAACTGAAAATTTATTCAGTGTCTCTAGATGAAGTGTGCTGTATGACTTAATGTCCGGTTTCAATTTGCCTTTCGGCGAGTCAAATGCTTGTATTTAAGTTGATTGGGAATCGATAAAATGGTCAGATGACAAATGATGATATTTCAATAATTAAATCATCGTATTTCATTTTCTCTTTAATTTATTAGTTCATGTTTTATATTTTGTTTATTTCTAAGACGGACTGTACCAGTAGATTTAAAATGGTGAAATGCCAGAGTTAATTCCTCTCCTCCCACGATTATCAAAAAGCAAATCCACAAATTCGATCTAGTTAAGACGAAAATGTTCATGATATTAGTTTCTATGTTCTGCAATACCTCACATTGATAATCTATACTCACGCAGTGATTAGAAAAATTAATAGCTTTCTGTTCGACACAATCTTCAAAAGCAATTTAAAGGAAGCAGAATAGTACCTTGTCACATTGATGAGAAAACTGAGAGGGCCTTCTGCAATTAGGCTGTAAGGCCATCTGCTCAACTCCGCCTCCTTGTTTATTCACTGTAAAACTGATATCAAATTATGCATTGTTCAATGCACAAGGAAAAGGAAGATGGTTGAGTAATATAACCAATAACATCCGTCATAATTCTGCTTTGAACAGTCAAAAGCTCATAAAAGAACCCTAATCAGACTTTCTACAGAAGGGGGGAAAACTGACGAGAGGAACCACCGATAATAACCTCATTCGATCGCCAAAAAAAAAATCCTGGAAGATAAATTTTCCGGCGACGTTGATAAAAGAAAAAATGGACCATTCAATCATAATTCTGCTTGGAAATTTTCGAATTTCAGAATTTAATTCACGTCAATGCATTTTAACAACCAAAAGCTCCTAAAAGAACCCTAATCGGAAGGGGGGAAATCCCAGGAAGATAAATTTTCCGGTAAGATTGCAAAAAAAATTTGGACCATTTCTCGATTTGTGCGTGTCATCCTTGCGCAGGGGCCATGCTAATCTTCTCTGTATCGTTCCAATTTTATCGGATGTCCCCGAAGGGACGAGCTACTCTTTCAACGTATCTCAATATAAACTGAAAGAAGTTAATTAGTTCAGTCGATGTGGGACTAGAATAGTTGGGATCGAATTAGCACAGTACAAGTTAGACTTTTGGGTCGGGTTAAGGGGCTGACGTATTCTTACAAAACTGGATTGCAATCCACTAGGCAGTAGCCCACGTAGATAATATTAATAAGAAAATTAAATTTAAGATTTCTACTTCAAAAAAAAAAAAAAAAATGGATATATGAACCTTTGAGCATTTGTTTGGTTCCCACTTCCCATTATTTTCAAAATATATTTTTCTCTCTCTTATACACACTATTTCTCAAAAAAGTGAGACAAGAACATAGGACAATTGTTTAATACTATTTTATTTTATTTTTGAAGACAATTACAGTTTATATTTATGATAACACAATTGTTCAATCTTCTCAAATCAGACTTATTGTTTAATTTGATAAATTAAGAAATCTCGAAAATAGAAAACCATACAAATAGATATTCAATTGCCTAAGAATTATTTTATTTCAAGTATTTAAATTAATTTTAATTAAAATAAATTAATAAAATTATTGACCTTAGTGTTGAACTATTATCTATCTTCTTAGGGTACTTATTTTAACCTTACCGTAAACGATACTTCAAAAATGTACTTAAAATAAAATAAAAAAGTAACATATATAAAGGTGTTCTAAGTATTGTGTCAACCGACTGAAAGTCCAATTTAATATAATAGATTACGATCTTTTCTTGACTTATCAATTGTGTTATCCGATATATGTAATAATTAAATATTTTCATAAATCAAATCAGATTAAATACAAATTTGACACCCAATTGACTCTATAATCACTTGTTCCAACCACTACCAAATCTCAACCAATAGAAAATATGATCATAATGCTCCCTAAGAACAAACCTTACGCATGATATCTTGTCGTGCCAAGAAAAGGTTTGGTTTAACCAAAAGTTGGTAACCTAAAATAATTATCAAAATATTTTAATTATGTTATCGAAGTCACGTTCAATCTTACAGTATACCAACTTTACATGAACAAAATTAAATAAAAGCTGTTAAAATGTGTACAAGTTTATTCACGAACATTGTTGTTGATATTGTTGAAATTATTTTCTTTGTATTAATAAAACTCCCGATTTACATAAATGAGATAAATTACACTAAATTTTACCATGAGCATTAGATTTAAATTTGGTTCAATTTTGTCGGTAGGCTTCAATGAACTTAACTCGATATTAGAAAATTGTTAGGGTAACACAAGAAGCTTGAATCATAAATTGTACATCGAAGAAATCTTCTTCCAAAATTTACTTGAGTCCATAAAGTTGTACTATAGACTAACTCCACAATTAGACGACGATACATTTGATATCACTTAGCCCTTGACAATCGTTATTTCAAAAAAATTTAGTTCTCATACTCATTTTCAACCATTCATTACACAATAAAATATTTTGCATGTTAATCCAAAAAATTTTCTTACTTTTTAACTACACATGTTTCAAAAAATCACTATTCAAAACTTCATTTTCTCAAAATAATGGACATCAAATAGAGGCTTAATGAGGCAATACCAGCTTTGGACTTGAGATAGAAAGAGAGAAAAAATCAAGTCTCAAAATGACCTCAACTCATGGGGTGAGGGAGGGCCACTCGATAAGGTGGTGGCTCTTCATTGGAGAGTCGCATCATGCGGGGCGGTGGAACTGTCCCACTGAAATTTCTCTTATTTATATGAGAAGACAATCAAGAACCCTAAAAGAATCACAACTCGTAAGTAATGCATTTAAGCTTGTGAAAATTTGTGAATTTGAGTAGATTATGCCCCCGTTTGGCAGTGAATTTGAGTAGATTATGCCCCCGTTTGGCTTCCATTATTTTTTATTATAATGAGGGGAATAATATTTTTTTTAAAAAATGGATGGTTGTAAAAGAGTGAAAAAAAAATTTATTTACGTGTAATATTATTTTATTGAAAATTTTATGGTTGAAAATAGGAGAGAGAAAAATTTCAATTAATTTGATTAGATTTAATATGGGCCAAACGAGGGCTATATATTCTAATAAATTTTGTGAATTTGAATAGATTTTCACAAAAATCTTCATTGAAAATGGTGCAATTTCAAAAGAATTTATTATATGCATTTATAAAATTGAAATCTATCCAAAACTTTTAGGGTGGTGCCATTTAGCTCTTGGGATCGCAACCCCAATTTAGGCGGCACCAATGTGGTATTAATTAATGAGTAAAATTAAAAATTAATACTATTTACATTCGCTTACTATTGCAGTCGTCTTACGTGACATATATGTGGTGGCTAATGATTTAATATATTAATATTGTATTTTTTATTACCTTATGTATCGAATCACTAATCGTCACATGTACGCTATGTAAGGTGACTATAAATAACATTATTCAAAATCAAAAGATTCATTTAATTTCACGTTTTATTTAACTTATCATCCAATGTCATCTAGACTGAAATTGCAATCCAAGCAAAACTAGTAGAGCACTACACAAACTTTTAAAATCCCCCATTAATAAAGCAATAATACTGATTGTACAGAAAATATTTTACAGAAGTTATACAGATGTGTCACATGAGAGTGAGTCCCATATGAAATAAAATGATCCCCAAAAAATGATCACCCCCTCGACTGTAACATTTCTGTTTTGGTACATTAATAAAGCAATAATACTGATTGTACAGAAAATATTTTACAGAAGTTATACAGATGTGTCACATGAGAGTGAGTCCCATATGAAATAAAATGATCCCCAAAAAATGATCACCCCCTCGACTGTAACATTTCTGTTTTGGTACATTAAGTACCTCTAATAAAGCCCTCGTTTTGGTCAACAATGCATTTATCAACGGTACCAAGATATTTTAAAATGCAAAAGTGGAATCAGCTTTGTCAGACATTTATTTGTGTTAATGGGGGCGTTGAGCGTTGGATTGACACATTTACCTTCACCCATCCAAATGTGACGACAAAATGAACGACTCTGTTTGGAAGTAATATTTCTATTAAAAAATTAATTTTTTTATTATTATTTTACTATTTCAATCGTCATATTTAACTTCTTCTCTTACAAATGGACCTTAGTTTTCTCCTAATAATTAAAAAATCAATTTTAAAAATCATTACCAAACATGCTTTCTAGGTAATATTGGAAAATTTGGTGAATAGTTGTGGAAACCACGGGAAAAAAAAATGTCAAGACTCAATTACTATTTTCATCCGAACACTGCAACACTTTCAGGCATGGGGTCCACCAATTAGAAAAATGTGAGAGAAATGATCACTCCTAAATAAAATCTTTTGAAATTTCAATTAAGGACATCCAGTTAGATTCTGGTTTAAAATTCTTGCTTTGATAGATTTTTCAAGTGGAAAATGATGCAAATATCCCCAACAGTATTTGCTTAGAATATTTGGAATGGCATTTACTATTACACAAACTTATATAATAATTTTATTTAAGACACTAATAGAACTAATTAATAAGAGTAAAGCAAATAAAAAACACTACTCTTTCAACCCTTTTTCACCATTGAAATTTTGAACAAACTACCACCATGAGATAAGACTAATAATCACACATCTGAGCTGAGGCCATGATGGGCTGTTGGTTAAGGTACATTAAATTCCATGGATTATTCAAGAAACCATCAGAAAACCCTTCAAACTCCTCAGCCTGGAACATGAGGTTGGTGGCTGGCGCCGCCGCAGTAGTGGCCGCGACGGTGGCGCTGTTGGATTTGATGTAATTGAGGATTTCATTGAGGGATTGCAGTCTTTGTCTGAGTTCCATCATTTGAGCCCTCAAGACTGAGTTTTCAGCCTCAACATTCATATAGTGCTGGTTGGTGACATTTATATTTGTAAGAATCTGGTTGTTCTCATTCTTCAACGCAGTCGCTTTAGCCATCATATCATCCAAATGCTTCTGTTTTCTCAAACGGGATCGCTTCGCCGATTCGCGATTTAATTGCATCTTCTTCCTCTTCCTTTGATCTGTCAACTGCTGCAAATCTTCTCCAGAGCCCGAGTTCTGAATCTGTCTAGACCCTGAAGAATTTCCACTCGAAGAAGCCATTTTTCTTATATTTCACACCAAAAGGGATTACTGATAAAATTCTACCTAAAAACGATAAATTGTAGGGCTCTTTATTTATATATTTATAAGCTATATGTATAAAGATTCAAAGCTTTTTTCTGAAAACACGTAGAACCAGTAGAGGAATGCAACGGAGAAAGATTGAACAAGATGGGTTCTGCGACTTAGGAAGGAATTGACCATAAACCCAGAACGGCAGATTTTAACGAGCACAGGAGACATGAATCTTAAACATCAATAACCAATTATGCAGCATGAAGACCGTATTGCATCAAACGGGTTAATTTCTGATCTAAAATCAGAACCCAGAAATCTGAAGAACTAAGGCAGGGAAGCAGAATAATAACAGTATATTGGAAATTCAATATCTAAAGAGCAGAAAAAAAGAAAAGAGGAAGAGGTTTTCGAGGTTGAGGAAGGGTCAGATTTATAGGGGAGAAGGGTGGATCAAGAAAACTCAAGAAAAATCAAGAAAGGATACAGTTGGCAATTAATTCTCACGAGAATTGACTAATTTTGTGTAATTTAAGGTATGCATTTCAGATGAATTTTAAATTTTTTACTAAATTTACGTATTTTCAACCGAGATTTTGATGACAAAATCAATTAAAATTTAAGTATTTTTAATTGAGATTTTAATGAAATTTTTTATAATTTAGGTATCCTCCTTGATTAGTGAATTTGTAAAGATTTTTTATTATAGGGATTTTAAAAATATTTGAATGGATTTCAAATTAAAAGATACATGTATCCAAATCTTATGAAATTTCAACGTATTTAACGAGATTTTTGTGAAATTAGTGAAAATCTATTTAAATCCAAGAAATTTATTAAGATTTATAATTTTTTAAAATTTATCAAAATCTTAGTTAAGGATACCCTAATAAATAAACTAGTTTAATTGAGCCATTGACTAAGCCTTTTTTTTTTTTAATCAAAATGGACTTTTAAACGGTGATTTGATCATATTTCAATTATATATTTTTCAATAAAATAATATTACACTCAAATTCAAAAAATTTTTTTATTTTTAACCATACATTCTCTATTATAACACTATTGTAAAATACATCATTTTATAAATTATTAAAAAAAAAAAAAAAAAACAACAACAACAACCCTGGAATTGTTCCAAATCAAGAGCATTAGCAAAAATTACAAATTCTGTCAAATGAATATTGAAATTATTAAATAAAATATCACGTATCTCATTGTCTGAGTCTAAATAACTAGATATAATTTTTTTGGACTACACGTTGATTATCCCCAGTTTGACAACCATTATATTAAAAAATAAAAATAAAAAAATCTACATATTAATTTTTTATCGCACATTCACACAATCGAATATTTTCCACTTAAATTTAAAAAATTTCCCTATATTTTAATCACACATTCTCCAAAAATTCATTATTTAAAATATTATTTTTCTCGTATAATGACCATCAAATAAGAGCCTAATTACAAAATAGTACATCATGTGCCACTTTGATCTAAAATTTCACGCGTTGCTTAAACAGTATGTACATAAAGTAACACACCAGGTGTATACAACTAATTTAATCCAGAATTCATGGGCCAATTAATTTCACATGGCGTAGACTCTTCGTTTCTTCATTTACAATAAATAATATTCACATTATATATTGTGGTCAAAAACCTAAGTCTTAATTTTGGTGTCGGTTGAATCAGTCAAGATCTCCTTCTTATTAGGGATAAAATTATTATCCATTTGTTTCTTTGATTTTGTGTTTACCAAATTCCTCGGCTCCTTATCCCTCATCTAGAAGCACGAAAGTGAGTAGCATGTTTCATACTCAAAAATGTCTTGCCCTTATCTGGTATTGACTTGACCGAACACATTCACGCGGTTGAGAAATAATTTTCTGTCATATGTTACTACCCGGTTCTTTATTTAATTGTCCAAAATCAAAATTTCTGACTTCGAAAGCGATTTTTTAGATACTATGGACATGTGCGGATGAAGCACCACTATGAGTTGTAACAAAATTCATTGACCGACTGGGTTTAATTAACTTACGAGGGATTTAAAAGTCAATTAAAATGAACAAGATGCAGACATTTTCAATGATACCTTATCTTTGATGTAAAACATCAAATTTGGTGTACACTATTTATTTACACCAAATATAGAATTTTTCATTTAACCCTATTTTGCCCTTGTTCGCATTTTATAAAAATTGTTTCTTTCATCTATGTACTTATTTAATATTGTAGTATTAATAGATTTTAATTGATTCATAATTATTTTAATATGATAGATATTTTTATTTAACATTTATTTTTAAATTCTAA